ACCAGGGTTGGCCCTAACATAAGGCCATCAAAACCTGGGCTTTACACCTCATTGTTTTAGTTGGGCTTTATAATTTGTAATTATAACCATTAACCCAAATAAAATTTTCAATTTTATAAAAACTTAAGCCCAATAAAAAAATTAAAGTTATATCTAAATTTGATGGTTTTGGCTTATTTCTCTTGTATGTGACACCAAAAAAATTAAAAAAAAGAAAGAAAAATAACAACAAAAAGTATATGTTATTTTGTCCTAATCAATGTTTCTTTTTCTCTCTCTCTATCCCTCTCTAAAAGTGTTTGAAAGATCAACAAATTCCTACTTCCACCATATCTATCTCTTTCTCTTTTTCTCTTTTTCTCTTTTTCTCTCCCACTTTTCTTTCTCTCTCTTTCTCTTTTTCTTTTTTTCTCTTTAGCTAACAAAGGACAACTGACCTGCCGGTGTCTTTTTCTTTCTGTTTTTTATCTTGGCCATCTACCTTTGTTTGTTTTTATACACCACAAAATTCACAAAGTCTATTCTCTATTAGCATTATCATTTTAAGCTTGGGTAGTGGGCAGTTGGTGGCTTAGCAGTTTTGGTGATAGTCGGATATTGTGGAAAAATCAAAAATAACAACAAATTAGGTCTTATTATTCTCTGTCTTTTAATTTTTTTATTTGAAGCTTTTATTATATTATTTAAGATAAATTGTATTTGATTATTTGTGATTGTTTAATTGATATTTGATAATATGACAAGTAGAAAACAACTTGGGAGATATTAAAGCTCAAAAAAAAAAAAAAAAAGAAGAGATAAATTAACAAAATTTCAAAAAAATTATCTTGATAAATTTGTTACTAGTAACAAAAATTATAGGTGAAAATATAGTAAATGAACAAATAATTACTCTCAATGAACTAAAAGATGATAATATAATATATATATATATATATCTATATCTATCTATACTATTAATAAAAGTACCTTAACAAAAAAAAATGATTCACTATTTTACCCTTATAAAGAATTATAAAGTCATTTTATCCTTGTATAGTTAAATATATAAATTATCATCATATCATCTAAATTATCTAATATATGTTTTAACTATCTATTCTCTATGTATAAATATCAATATCCATAAAATTTTTAAATTGACTATATTACCCTTAAAAATATATGCATCATTATAGTCAACAATATATTTTATCCCAATTGACCTAACTAATTCTTAATTATAGTAAGGTTTCAATATAATTAGGATATGGATAATTATTTTTATTTTAATTAATGAATTATAAGTAGAATCCTAATCAAATGAATTTCAAAAAATTTAATTTTGTAAACATCACTACAAAATACTCTCAGACCCAAAATTTTAAAAAATAGAAGTTTAATTATTATTATTTTTTTATCATTTTTCTTATAGTTAGACTAATGAATCGGTGGGATGGACAAAATCTTCATAATTCTATAATACAATTTGAATGATAAAAAAATAAATTTGTTAACTTTGATATGATATTTAATTTAGACTCATATATACCTAATAGTTTTTATGTACGAAAATTATTCAAGTGCAACGTGCATTGCTAGTACAACAAAAGGATAATAACCAAAAAAATGCACAATTCAATAGTATAATACAAAACAACAAAAATCAATAGAAAAATATTAGTACTAAACTAAACTGAGACTTGTTCGTAGAAAAATGTTCAATTAAAGATACTGATTTAGATTTTCTCAAAGATGAACTTTCTACACAATTTTTGAGTACACACTATATTTACAAATTAGCAAATGGGAAGATACATGGTAGAAGATGACTAGTATATGTATTTTGTTTTTATTGTAAATTGTGTAATAAAAATCATACTACAAGTAAGCTAGCTAATGAAGGAACTAAAGATCAGAAAAATCTTAGCATTAAGTTTAAAGTCATGAAACATCTAATGAACATATTTACTAATATGAATGCTTGGATTGATTTATAAACAAGGTTGTTAAAAAATAAAACAATCGATAAAACTATCCAATAACAAATAAACAGAGAGCAAGAATATTGAAAAATATATTAGTGATAATTATTGCGGTTGTAAAAAATTTTGGTAATAATTTGGCATTTTGGGAAAAATAAAAAGATATATCAAGAAAATAAAAAAAAATAACTATAATTGAAATAATTATAAGATTTGATCTAGTAATGCAAGAACACATCCAGTACATTCAACATAATGAAGTTCATAATTATTATCTTGAACATAAGATGTAAAATGAATTGATAAATCTACTAGAAAATGAAATTAGAAGTAATATTATTAAGAAAATTAAAGAAGTAAAACATTATGCAATTAAGTCATCAAAAATAAATGTCTCTCATATTACGTTGTGTAGATATCTTAACAAGTATAATAAAAATAGAAGAATATTTTTAGAGTTTCTTAAAATAGGTAACATTAGTGAAAAATGTATTTTTGATAAAATCATAGATACAATAAGAAATCTCAAACTTGATATTTATGATGTACAAGGATGATGATATGATACTGAATGTAACACGAAAGAAAAACATCAGGGAGCATAAAAAAGACTTCTAGACATAAAATCTAGAGTATTTTACTCCATACTATGTGGTTGTCATAATCTAAATATAGTACTTTGTGATATGACTAACTCTTGTCCCAAGGTTATATTATTTTTCGGAATAGTACAACACGTATATTCATTATTTGATTTTTCTACATAAGGATGAAAAATTTGACAAGATAAATATACCAGGTTTAGCTCTTAAATTATTGTCACAAACACGTTGGAAAAATCGAATTGAAAATGTTAAACCAATTAAATTTAAAGCTCCAAGGATAAGGGATGTATTGTTACAATTACGAGAAACTAGCAAAGATCCAAAAGCAAGAAGTGAAGTTAATTGTTTAATAACATATGAGATTGAGAATTTTGAGTTCTTATTAGGCATGACTATTTGATATGATATTTTATTTTTCGTCAACTTAGTTAATAAATATTTACAATCAAAAGACATACATGTTGATGTTGTTATAAATCAATTACAAGGTTTCATTTTTTTTTGAAAAATAGGGAAAATAAATTTATAAATGCTATAATTTTATCTAAAGAGATTACAATTAAAATAGGAATAAAACCTATATTTCGTGAAAAAAAAAGTACAATTTGTAAAAAGAAACAATTTGATGAAAATGTTGATGACGAAATAATAAAATTTGTTGAAAAATATTTTAGAACTGATTATTTCATGTGCATAGTAGATAAAGTTATTTCTTCATTAAAGAATAGAATTGAAACTTTCAAATATATAAAAAAATATATTTGATTTTTTATTGAATTTAAAAAACTAAAAAATTGAATTTAATAGTTTAAAAAAAATTGTCCTGATTAAAAGTTTTTTTTAAAACATGATAATTTTTTTTTTTTTATGATTTAGATTTGTTTTTAGAACTAAATGTTCTAAAGGAAATTTAATCTATGAAAGAAAGTAATTCAATTAAAATTTTAAGTTATACAAAATGATTAGATTTTTTTTTCCCGAATGCATACATTGCTTACAGAATATTATTATAACTACTACCTGGGCTGGGTTAATTTTAGACCAAACACATATACTAGATTAATTTTAGACCAGACATGCACATACCACACTGAAATGCAAAAACGACACCAATATTTCACATGAATACAAAGTTCTAATTTTAGATACGACACCTAACCAAAAACAACACTAATATTTCACATGAATACTAAATGAGTTGTTCTAATTTTAGACACGACATCGATACCACACAGATCAAAATGTGACATTTATCCAACACGACTCGAATACCCTATTTCACATTTAGGGTCTGTTTGTTTAGCAAGATAATGCTAAAAAATATAAGAAAGATAAAATTTTAAAATATTACATGTGTTCGTTTAGTATGTAATAGAAAATGATAGAAAAAATAATTTTCTTCCATGCTTAGATTTTCTCACATTTAACCAACTTTTTTTCTTGAAAAAAATACAAGAAAAAATAAGAAAGTTGTGTTTAAAGACCAAACTTCCCATTGTACCCTAATTTTTAAAAAAATATTCAATTAGTTATTAATTTTAAAAAATTTTGTACAAATTAGACTAACCATATGATTTGGTCTAGAGATTAAGGTTTGAATCAATTCTTATCTCTGAATTGGATTAGGAGCCAATTTTTAAAAAATTTGAATAATAAAAAATATTTTTTCTTTTTTAGATCGAGTTAAAATAATTAAGGATAATTTAAACAATTAAAAAAAAATTCTTGTAACTTTCATTTATTTTAAACAAATGGAATGAAATTATTTTAAAATTTTCTTAAAAATTTTTTATACTAACCAAATACGTGCATGAAAATATATTTTCTATTACTTTCTTTTCTTTTATTTCACTTTCTATCTGTTTCATTTTTCATTATTTTTTTTCTTACTAACCAAACAGACCATTAACTTCCTCTTTTCCACATCACCTAACATTTATTCCATCTTATTTTTCTCGGACAGCAAAATGACTTCTATGCTTTCATTGATAATGGGTGTAAAAGCAACTTGGGGGATGCCCTTCCGAACTACAATAGACATCACCTGTTGCAGCTTTGAATAGACAGAAAAGAAACTCTATTTAAATGATGAAATCTGATGGAAAAACGATCCATGAGCCAGTGTTCCACCAGTCCCTTCATCCATGGACTTAAAGAGTAACAAGCTATGTAAACAAAAACAATAAAACAAGTTGTTAAACAGACAAGTGGACTAAAAGTGCAACGACTAGTGGATTTGTTTTGGAAAAAATGTGATGCCATGCATGCATGCCAACTATTTCGTTTTCCAGTTAAACCATCAAACTCAATTCAAGGGTATAAGAACTGATTTGGTTTACAATATTGGACATAGTTGCCAGAACTTACTACATTTTTTGATTTACAATGCTGCCTGTATTGCCCAGTGTCCACAACCAAGAATCTTGAGCAGTCAACATGTTCCAAAAATCTCGAGAACAAAGCCGGGCAACCATCTAAAAACCATCAACTCAAGCCAAATGCAGCACATCCATAAACAAGTTATGGGAATGTCTCTGCAAATTCAAAAACAGTGTTTAAGAACAATTGTTCGAGATGTTTATGGAAAGTGGACGGAGCTGATGACTTACAATGTTACAAGCCTATATACCAATGACGGATTGAATTCATCATCAACGAACATCACCAAAATATTGTCCCAACAGCAGTTACAGTATAATAGCACCACCAGCCAATGCACCATATCCAGAAACAAGGTATGGGAGTGTGTCTGCAAATTCAAAAATAGTGTTTAAGAATAAAAGTTCAAGACGTTTATGGGAAGTGGACGGAGCTAGATGACTTACAATGTTACAAGCCTATATACCAATGACGCATCTAATTCATCATTAACGCACAACACCAAAATATTGTCCCAACAGCAGTTACCGTATAATAGCATAGCACTGGCACAACTTTCTCTGTTCCATGCTTTTAGCCTCACTCAATCCATATGAACATCTTCAGGATAAAGAAATGGCATTCAATAGAATGACAATAGAAATTAAATTTATTGTCAGTGTCAAGTCACTAACAAATCATTAAAAATACACATCATTACCGGAAAGATGGGAACTACCAGTGAACACCGGCTAAGTAACCATTTTCTCCCTCTTGAAGCACCCAATCAAATGATAGAGACACTCATAGTAAGCGGAAAAGTTCTCAAGTTAGAGGCCACAATCAACACATTAAGGGAAGCTATTAAGAATGGCAGTTCCTCCGGTTTATCTAGTCAAACTACTGTTCAGTTCTACAAACCAGTTTTAAACGTAGTTAACAAAAACAAGGCCACAATACTATACGTTCATGAATGAACTGTCATAATCTTAAAAAGAAATACTTGATAAATTAGGTCTGGGTGACCCCTTTTCGGTATTGAAGCAATCCCTCTAGCCAAATGTCATCCCTTAACAATTCCTAGACAGTTCCAAAACCAAACAAAACCCTGCAGATGGAAGCATTTGCATGTCATTTGACATGGAAGCACGAATGCAGCCACCTCAACGCCTTGCCAAGCCAACCCATCTGCCCAAGTCCACCCTCCTCCATGTAATTGTTATGCAAACGCCAAAAATGAGTATCAATGCGCCTCCCTGCCACCACCTTCTCACCCACCCACCCACCCAGCTCTATTCTACCACATCTCCCAACAATGGCAAAGCTTGCAATCTCAGCTGTTCTATCACCAGCCCTGTGAGCCCTTGCTGAAGCATCCACCTACAGGACCACGGTAAGTCAGTAACCACCACCACCGAGGAAGAAACCCCAAGGGGCTTAGAACAGAGATGCTGCGAGCAAATCCAAAGGCAGTGGCTCCGCAAACTGCCAGAGGTACTTATCACAGGGAAGGCAGTTCAAAGTGGGATTGCAAATGGTCACAAACTAGCATCTGTCCATCCAACAATGCTGCCAGTAGTTGGAGAACACAGAGAGGAGTGCCACTGTGAGGCCATAAGGTTGATGGTGAGGCAGCAGCAGCAGCGACATAGGGGAGGAAGGCAGGGTGAGGAGATGCGAGAGATGGCTCAAAGGGCTCAAGATCTGCCCCGCAGATGCAACTTGGAACCACAGCAATGCCAAATCCGAACTGGTTGGTTCTAAATGATCAGGCCAATATAGAATGGTCATCTACTGGCGCTGAGCATTATAATAAAGGTGACCAGTATTAGTATAGCTAAAAGTGAGGATGATAATAACTAATAAGCACATAATCACACGTGTCAAAAATATCAGAACTAGTTCAAGAATAATATATCACTTACCCTTTTTCAGTGTATCTGTGTGTGCGTGTGTTTAGATTTCTTATACTTTTGGGACATTTTGGATCACAGGTAATACTAGCAACAGGAATGAAGCACCATCCTTCGCCAATTTTGACACATTAACACAAAAACACACAAGCAGAAAAATGACACGACCAACATTTAACATGAATAATAAATGGGTCGGGTTATTATTATACATGTCACGGGTACAACGCAACTCCAAAATGGCACCATCTGAACGTGACACAAGACACAGGCATAACACGGCACAACTTGATTGATAGCCCTATTCCACAATTTAGCTTCCTCATTTCTATATCACCATACAAGAAGTAAAATAATCCAGCACAATCCGATTGAGAACTAGTTTTTATAAAGAAATTTTACGAAGCACCTTCCACTTTTACAGTAATTCTTAAGCAAATAGAAACACCACATAAAAATGAAACAACCACAGGCCGCTGGAGTAGAGGAAGAAAACTGCATGTCTCTCAAGGATTAGTTTCGTCTTATTTGTCTGAGGAAGTAAACTGATTTTGATCATTGAATTAATCAATGATGTAAAAACAACTTGGGGGATGTGCTTCCAAACTATAAATAGACATTTACCTATTGCAGTTCACATCAACAAAAAAGAAACACTTGGAAGAACTAACCTTGAGCCATTACTTTCACCAGGTTCCCCCATCAATTAAGTAAAGTGTAACAACCCATGTAATGAATGAAAACAATAAAACAATCTGCCAAGCTGTGGTGACGCCATCATCAGAGCTGCGGCTTCGGTCATCCTCTGCTAAGCAATTTCACGCCATAGAAGTTCCAAGTACAAGTCTATCTTCCTTGCTGTTATGGAAGACCACTTGTGTCCATGAAGGTGAGAGCTGCAAGACGTATGAGAAAGGACTTAAATATGCTTGACAAGTGGATATATTTCAGAAAAAAAAGTGTCCATGCATTCCACCACCCTTTGTCTCTAAATTAACACACAGCTATCAAAGTGATGAGAACTGATTTATCTCTATTCTAGGACATCATGACACCTATTTTTCAGCAGATCTACTTCAAAATATCCTCTGTTATACGCGAGGTAAAATCCTTACTGCTCTTCGTAAAACAGGGCAGGAAGCATTTACCACCACAGACAAATGTTCTGACAATCCAGCCGTTTGATTAGATGCTTTTTGGCCTAGTCTTAATTTTAGTTTGGAATAAATTTAAGCATCCCTCCTTGGGCAGGCTAACAGAACTACTTAAAAAGCTGGCACATCATGCTATGTTGGCATAACTATTTAATTTTGTGCTTATAAAAATAACAATTTAATATTGTAAAATGTCGATTTATATTGATTAATTACCAAAAACATGACTCTTCTGAGGTAGTTGAACATTGCTTACGATAAGTGAATTGGTTTGCATTCTTGCGTCAAATTTAGCAAAGGATATAGTTAGAAGAACTTACCATCATTTTAAGATTTACCATTCTGTCTGTATTACCTGGTGTCCATAACCAAGGATCCTGAGCAGTCAACAAACCCCATGGATTCAAGACAAAACAAGCAACCATCTAAAAACCATTGATTCTAGCCAAACACGCAGCATATTCAAGAACAAGTTATGAGTGTCTATGCAATTCAGATAGAGAATTAAAAATTTGAAGCTCAGAATGTTTATGGCAGTGGAGGGAGCTGGATGACTTAAGAGCCTTGTCCCAACATCAGCTCCAGAGTAAAATAATACCACAAGAACAACCTTGCATGTCACATGCTTTTAGCTTTAGATATCTAGGCTATTATTTGTGTTTAGTCTTTGCTTTAATAATCATATAACAATATGACGAGGGGGAAGAATGAAACAAGCAAAAGGATGCATTTGATGAAAATGCCCTGTTTCAGAGAAACAAGATGAAAATGCCCTTCCCCCATTGTTTTGAACCAAATCAGGAGTAAATAGAAGAAAACCAGAGACTCGAGGGTCCAAAAATCTTTTCTTTAGTAAGCCACATAACTTCACAATTTGACAGATTAGAGGGTCTACCATTCAAAGGATTCTCAATGGTCCAAAGGCAGATAAAGAATTGTTGGCTTCCTATCTGGCTGAAAATATGATCAACCATCGCATCACTTACAAAATGTTGACAGTAACAGTAGGTTTACCTTCTATTCACAAAAATGATTGCAAAATCTTCCATATCCCCATCAAAGCAGAGAATTGTATGTAAAAGGGGACCTATGGCAGAACAACACGACAACCAGAAACAACACTTCATCTATGTTTCCAAACAGTTCAATCTAAAAGCCCAGGGCTAACAACCCCTAAATTTTTAGAACATCTATTATCCACATTAAAACTACTTCGAACTGCAACCCATTTCCTAACTAATAATTTCATAATACCACTGGCGTTAAAAAAAAAATGATTATGACCAACGCAACGGCAACGGCAACGGCAACTGCAGCTGCAGCAAAATTGTACATAAGGATGATAAATGCATACCAGCAGTGTTGGAACATCCCCATAGAGCAGCAACCATTTCACGGTAAGATAGAAAACATAAACAAAAACAAAATTTCATAAGGAATGTATTGCAAGAACTAGAATTTATTCATATAAAGCAGAATACCACCCACTGGTCTCTGAGACATCTTAGAGAGAAAAAAGAACCAGCAGAACTGCTGAAACAGAAGATAATAGAAATTGTTTTAGAGAGCCATTTAACATTGGCACATAGACACAAACCACATTAAAGACTTGACCACGAACAAACGACACCAGAGACACAAGACACTTCACTCCAACACCACGAGCAGATACATTCAATTACCACCACGAAGACGGAGGACAAGGTGAAGGGTTGACTCTTTCTGAATGTTGTAGTCAGCAAGAGTCCTACCATCCTCCAGCTGCTTCCCAGCAAAAATCAACCTCTGCTGGTCCGGTGGAATCCCCTCCTTGTCCTGGATCTTGGCCTTCACATTGTCAATGGTATCGGAGCTCTCCACCTCCAGAGTGATGGTCTTCCCGGTCAAAGTCTTTACGAAGATCTGCATCCCACCACGTAGACGGAGCACCAAGTGGAGGGTTGATTCCTTCTGAATGTTGTAATCAGCTAGGGTTCGACCATCCTCAAGTTGTTTGCCAGCGAAGATAAGCCTCTGCTGGTCCGGGGGAATTCCTTCCTTGTCCTGGATCTTAGCCTTGACGTTGTCGATGGTATCGGAACTTTCGACCTCGAGGGTGATTGTCTTGCCCGTGAGAGTCTTCACAAAGATTTGCATGCCACCACGGAGACGGAGCACCAAGTGAAGTGTTGACTCCTTCTGGATGTTGTAGTCGGCAAGGGTGCGGCCATCCTCGAGCTGTTTACCAGCGAAAATGAGCCTCTGCTGATCTGGGGGTATTCCTTCCTTATCTTGGATCTTGGCCTTGACGTTGTCAATGGTGTCGGAGCTCTCCACCTCGAGGGTGATGGTCTTGCCCGTGAGAGTCTTCACAAAGATTTGCATGCCACCTCGGAGTCGGAGCACCAAGTGAAGGGTTGACTCCTTCTGGATGTTGTAATCGGCGAGGGTGCGGCCATCCTCGAGCTGCTTACCAGCGAAGATAAGCCTCTGCTGGTCTGGAGGAATCCCTTCCTTGTCCTGGATCTTGGCCTTGACGTTGTCGATGGTATCGGAGCTTTCGACCTCGAGGGTGATTGTCTTGCCCGTGAGAGTCTTCACAAAGATTTGCATGCCACCTCGGAGTCGGAGCACCAAGTGAAGGGTTGACTCCTTCTGGATGTTGTAATCGGCGAGGGTGCGGCCATCCTCGAGCTGTTTACCAGCGAAGATAAGCCTCTGCTGGTCTGGAGGGATCCCTTCTTTGTCCTGGATCTTGGCCTTGACGTTGTCGATGGTGTCGGAGCTTTCAACCTCGAGGGTGATGGTCTTGCCGGTGAGGGTCTTAACAAAGATTTGCATGCCTCCCCTGAGACGTAGCACCAAGTGGAGGGTGGACTCCTTCTGGATGTTGTAGTCGGCTAGGGTGCGGCCATCCTCTAGTTGCTTCCCGGCAAAAATCAGCCTCTGTTGGTCTGGGGGAATCCCTTCCTTATCCTGGATCTTGGCCTTAACGTTGTCGATGGTGTCGGAGCTTTCAACCTCAAGGGTGATGGTCTTGCCAGTGAGGGTTTTGACGAAGATCTGCATCTATTAAAGATGTAGAAAAAAAACCAACTTCTCAGAAACCAAAGAAAATTATAGAAACAGAGACCTCATATTCCTTCAAAGCTAAAGATCAACAAGAAAAAACTTCCGATTAAAACAAAATTGATCAACAATACAGATTTGATAGGGATATGCAACCGACAGAAAATTCAAACGTCAGATCATTGAATTAAAACACCAAATATGTTCAAAAGATAAAACTCTCGGGAATTATAAAACCAAATTATCAGAAACAAAATAAAACTAAACAGATACATCAAAACCCGGTTACATCAAAACAAATCCGAAACACAGATTTTGTAGAGTATAAAATAGATCCAAAATTCTAACACAAGAATACTCAATTAAATAGATAATACTATTTGACATATCTAAAAAACGTTAAAAAATAAAAAAAAAACTTTCGTGAACAAATACTTTCGGAAAGATCACCAAAAACCGATCTAATCCCGTCCGAAAAATCGAAACAGATTAGTAATTAAAACCTAACCAAAAATCAAATCAATCCGAACAGATCAGAATTAATCAACTAAAATTCTAACCACAACCATTTTTGTTGGCAGATCCAAGCTGATCAAATCACAAAAACAAGATTAACTAGCCAGATCAACGAGAATAAAGCACAAAGAGGGAGGGAGGGAGGGAGACGAAGCCGAAATTACCTTGAGAGAGATAATTTCAGAGAAATCGCAAGAGAAAAGCTAATCGTATACAGAATGAGAGGTGCTTAGGATTGCCTCATCTTTTTAAAGGCCAAACGACGGGCAATGCACGACACCGGCTTCGAAAGAAAGCCAATAGCGTGAAGCCACGTGTAATTGGTGCCGTGTAACGCACTAAGCGTGCAGGCTAATGGTACGATGCTTGATACCTAAAAACAATGCAATAATTTGTCCTTTTCTTGATCGGTGGAGATACTTACAAGTGTCAATAGAACTTACGCCCAGCCGCTAACTGGATGCTTAAAGTGCACGCGCCTTTACATTATCTCAACTATACAAACCAACTAACGAATTAAATTTGAAGTAATAATACTTTAATTTATTTTACTGACTTAATTATTAATTTAATTATAATTAATTATTAAATTAATAGTAAATTTCAAATATTAATTAAAATTTACTATCAATCCAATGATTAGATTGAACAGATTCATAAATTACATCAGAATATTAAATTAAAATAGTTTTTATGGTTACATTTATTTTGGATTCTTTTTTATTTAAGATTTAAATTTAAATTTTAATTTGAATATATATTTAATTTTTTAAAAAATTATGATCAATATTATTCAATAGACTAAACTTTATTAAATTATCTGTGAATTATTATTAAATTTTGTCTAATAATAGTTTGATTATCAATATAATAAAATACATAATTATGTTTACATGAAACAAAATAACAGTGCATATCATTTACATCCTATGCCTTATATTATGATTTTAATTTTAATTTTAATTTTTTAATCATAACAATTTAATCTATTTGTATTTAATTTTTTAATGAAGATAAAAAATATATATTTTGACGGGGCCATAGATTTTAGTTTTATTTTTTAATTGCCCGGGAGAGAGTAGAGTTTGTAAGACACGTCCTGCGGAGCGGTTAGGGTATGCGATTTATGGTGGAAACATGGAAAGCGTGGCCGCTGGAAAATTCGTGAACTTATTTAATTGCATTAAAATATAAATTTAGGTATAAAGCTAACGGAGTCAGATTAAGCGGTTACAATAAACGGCGAAGCTGACGGAGTTACGTTACATGAACCTGACAATTAAGTCATCGTTGTCTGTCACCATAGGAATTCGTAAACTTCTGTCATGTAGTGCGTCACTCTGCAGTCTTCGAGTCAGTAACGTCAATTACGAAAAATATGATTTTTAAATGCATAAATAACTTTTGTGAACATAGTTTAATGAGATGGATCGAAAATATACGATATTTATGTTCAATTTGGCATAACAGAAATAGAAAAGTAAAAGAACGTAAAGTTAGAAAGATGCAAAATTTTAAAAATAAATAAAATATAATGTTTGATAAAGAAGAAAAAAAAAGATAGAAAATTGAATGAAATAATTTTTCTTCTAACTCATAAAAATCAATCCCTCCAAAATCGAAAGGAAAGTAAAAAAAAAATTAATTATTTATATTGAAATGTATCTTATTTATGTATATATTAATTTCATATAAAAATATAATAGTTAAATATGTATATAAATAGATATTAAAAAATTTTAAAAATAAAAATAAAAATTTTAAATTAAAAAAATATTTTTTCCATCTTAACTAATAGCAAAAATTTTCGACTCAATACGATAACACGACTTGAACTCGATACGAAAATAAACAGGTCAACTCGCAACTTGACACGACATAATTAGTTAAATGAGTTAAGTTAGGTTTGAGTAATATTCAACACAAATCCGTAATAACTCAACACAAATTTGACACGACACGATTCGATTGTCATCACTAATCTTAGCCAGCACAAAACAAAAAAAAATAGTTATTTTTGTTTTTCATCCATCTAACTAAACACAAAAGAAGAAAATTGTATCCTTCCTACTTTCCATCATTAAAGGATAAACAGTGTATCCCTCCTATTTTTCATCCTTCCTATTTTTTATCCTCCCTACCAAACGGAGCATTAGATAAAAACACATTTTAATCATAATTTGATAAAAATCAACAGTAATTTAATAAATCACCAATTGTTAATAGGTGATAAACATATTTATATATAGTAGTTGATGCACACAAGCGTTGCAAGTAAATTATTTTGAGCATCACATATCGTTAAAACATTTCAATTTTATTACCACCCATGTTATGAGCATCTCGTGAATTATTTTGAGTATCACGTGAATTATTTTCCTTTAAGGTGTGCATTACTATGTGTGTGTTTATGTTGGTCTTGATAGGTGGGGGTTAAGTTTATGCAAAATTGAATTTAGTGACCACACAATCAACAAGAAATGCATCCATTCCGTGAAAGTTGCACACCATTTTTTTTGTTATTATCTATATAAATTTACCTTATTTATAATGTTATTTTGCTTAAAGTGTTCATTATCATGATCAAGATTTCATTTATGCATATTGGTTCCTTTTCAATTTCAAGGAACATTTGGTGTTTATATTTATTATCATTACTTCATACTTGTATTTCTATGAGAGCTAATTGTATTGTGAAAATTAACGATTTATCTCAATTAGCTTATGCTATCTCAATTGACAAAGATTTGCATATATTGTTTCTAATAAAAAAGAGCCATTTACTTCATCTTGAAGTACATAAATTCAAAGTT